ACTGAGCGGGACTCAAAGTGAGTCTGTTTACCAGGATTTATGATACAGAGGGCACTGATGGTAAGGAAAATCGGAGTGTCACCTTAGCATGTGCTTTACTGTTGACTGTGCCATTGTGCTGTACAGTGAATGATATGGGTGTGACAGTCTGTGTGGTGTGGTTTCAGCTATTTGCTGGTTTTGGAAGCCATATTACATCATGTTCTTGTACTGGGTTGCATTAGAAAATATTATGAAATAACACAGATGCTGTAAAATTGATCCCAGTTCTGTACGTTGTTATTGTGTTTGAATGTTTTCATGCTCTTTTATCCAGTGAAACAGCCACGTAGTGTCACACTTAGTTAAGTTTGTAATCACAGAGTGCAGTAAATTTCACATGAAACAAACATTTTCAGTGTTGTCTGCAGAGATGGGACAGTATATCCAAATTCTGTATATGGCGATACAAAAACATCTCAAAATCTATTGCTTTGTCTAACGATATATATATCAAGTGGTCTCCATACACCAGTGACATCATATTTTTTGCAATTGTATCGAGAAAAAGTCATATCATCCCATCCCTAGTAGTTTGAGAAGGAGAAACCAAACCAGAGACTGTAAAGTTACCTAGGTAATTAGCAAGGCCGTCAAATGACTGACTGAACTACAAGTCTGCACAGTCAGCGCTGGGGCCATGTTACATTTAGTCCCCATTTGTGTCTGTTATGAACAATTCATTTCATTCCGTTATCATTTACCCCAATTCAGACTTCCCCCATTAATTCTCTGACTCAGGTTTATTGATTAACATTATCATTTACAGATCATGTGCAAACGGTGAGAAAGTCCTCAGCCGTTAAAATGCCTTATCCATTTTAAGACTAGTTCAAGTTTCCACTGTCGGTTTGCACACAGGTATTTTTGGCATGCTCAACACTTTTTCCCCAGTATTTCTCAAACTGCACCTACACAGACACACTCACAGTGAAAGGCACTTACCAGTGTGAGTCTTTGTTGTTTTCACACACTCAGCCGAACCCAGTGTAACTGGTGGAAGTTATAAAGCAGACGTAAGCGGACCAGTTGATGAGGAGGAGGAGACGGTGATGAATGCGTTCTTACCTGCTGAATTAGTCAGCGTGTTAGTTTGTTGTTGGAATGAGCAGCACGTCACCCACAGGTGGTGCTCAGACACTGCCAGAGATTAGCAGTCAGGTTGCAGTTAGGGTTCGCAGTGTAATTCAGGCACTGATGATGGTCTGCACAGAAAAACCAAATCCCAGTCACTGCTCTTCTGTTGTCCTTCACACTCCTTTTTAATCTTTTCTTCCTTTTTTCATGTCTCTTTCCTTAGTGTGGTCCTCAGGCTTGTTCTCTTTTCACACGGAGCAGTTATGTGCTGTATCATTTGATTGTGCGCCGTGCTGTAGTCTGGCTGCCTCTGAGGTGGTTTCCTCTTTGACAGCCCTGCCTGGGAGTGACTGCTTCACAGAGTCTCTGTGTTCCTTTCAGTCTTTCCCCACCTCCTTTGGTGACACTGCTCTTCTCTCTTTCATGGCTGTGTGATAGCATTTCCATTTCCAGCAAGGTAGTTAGTATGGTGCTGTGTTGCTGTGCTCCCCAGACAGACGCTGTGTGAATATTAGTTTTCACATAATACTGGATCTGATAATGGGAGCGTCAGGCCTTTTTGTAAAAGAGTGGAAACAACCTCATCTAAAGCAGGGATTTTAATAAGAAACATAACATTTCTGTTAGAAATGTGTCCAGTCCTCCTGAACAAAATCAAGATTTTATTTGTTCCAGTGCATTTCTTGATATCAAGAAATGCTGAAGTCAGTACTGAGGCTGTTAGTTCTGTTTGTGAGCTGACATTACTGTGACTGGGAGCCCTGTTTGACTTTCTACATGACAGGGACATTGGTCGTGGTGAGTGTGGTGGTTACACGATAGCTAATAGATCGATGATATACTAATGTTCTGTGTATGATGGAGAAATGTTAGCCACGTGCTAAAAACAACCCAATACGGGCTTGACTATTTAAATGCAGCCTTCAGTTTAATCTTCTTTGCTCGTGTATTCTAACTTTCTGGAGCTGTACCGCTTGTCTATCCTTGTCTCTTTTCTTCAGTTGTCGTCATGCCATCATCTCCAAGTTCTTTGGGGACAAGATGCCAAACTGTGCCGGTGCCTGCGACTACTGTCATAACCCTAAAGCTGTACGAGCCCAGCTGGAGAGAGCAGCTGCCCTCAGCACCAAGACAGAAGCGGCTCAGAGCAAAGAGCCCAAAGGACCTTTCGGTTTCCAGCCCGACCTTTACGGAGGAGGAAAGAAGGGCTATGGCTTTGAGAGGCAGGGCGGCTTTACTGAGCTTTAACCTGAGATGTTGATTTGATTGGTTGACTCTGTGTTGCTTTGCAGCATCAGCTGTGGTGTAAAGGAGCTGTGAACATGTAGATTAACACTGACATCTCACCTTGTAGGTATGATGAAGGGGAAGGTTATACTAGTGAAGAAGATACCACAAAAAGGAAAAAGGAGTTTTCTGACTTCTTCAAGAAGCAGATGAACCTGCGGAAGGTGAATCATAATAATCAACACATAAACTCTTTTTAGAACGCCACACGGTGTTTGTGTTGTCTCTGTCCATCTGTTCACCAGCTGTGGGCAGCAGAAAGACAGGAGCTCTGGGACCCCATAACCAAGGCTTGTACTAAACTGCTCCTCCCCCCTAGAACTAGGCTGTCCGACCACCCAGAAGTTTATTTTACATTTAAATCTTGTCAGTAATGATGAAGTGATTCTGCACCCATAATATATTAATACTCGCCCCTTTTATAGGCTTGAAAGACGACGTGTTAAATAAAGTGTGAGTGGATCAAACAGAGGATATTGATGGACAGGTAGAGAGGTGGAAGAGGCCTGAAAGCTTCTAAGAACATTTTAGCATCTTTCTTTCTGCTATGAAAACTTGTCATGGTTGGAATATGAACTGACTGAACTCACGCTGACCACCGCTGCTTTTAATGTGAAACTAGAAACCTGGTCATACTGCATTAATGGAGGAAGTGTACTAATGTGTCGCTTCTCTAAAACAATACAAATAGTGTATAACCTTATCAGACATACACAGTTTGATTACAAGTTATTTTGTTTCTGTGAATATTTGAGAACTAATCACCAACTTCTGCCGTGTTCATTCAGGGAACTGATGGTGAGAAGGCAGAGTTTGTTCCCCCAGGTAAATAATAGAAAAATAAAATCATTACCCATGGGTCTCCAGGCTGATGTGTCCTGTCATATAACTGGTATGTTGTGTTGTGTAGATGCTGCCTGCCCACTGAGAGAGGCCAGCAGTCAGAGGATCCCCAGGCTCACTGTAAAGGTACAACACGCTGATTGAGTTATTGCTATTAATACCTATAGCCTTTATTAATATGTGCCAAAGTATTCTGTCTTTTTTTAACTTGTGAAATATTTTATGTTTCAGGCCAGAGAGCACTGTCTGTGCCTCTTGCAGGAGGCATTGCAGAGCCACCAGGGGGCAGAAGATGTATTCAAGTGAGGACGCTTTGCAAAGATTATTCATAGTTAATTTACAGATGAAACCTAATCAACAGTCATTCTACATTGTCTTTGATGTCTTGTCCACCTCTCAGCTGTGAGGCGCTGTCCTTGGCGGTGGATATTGAACATGAGGTGTTCAAGAACAGCAAGTCCTCCAACTTGTACAAAGCTGCTGTTTTAAAGAAGGTAACTGCTGACTGTTCTGCCGTTGATATAAGGAAGACGTGTGATTAACACACCTCTTGTTCTAAAGGTATCAGACATGAAGAAAACGGCACCTGCTTCAGTTGTAGGAGAAAAAGCAGAAGGCAGTGAGACTAGTAGCAGCGACACCAGAGAAACTGAATCAAAACTCAAAGGGGAAACATTCTCTTCTTCTTCCTTTCCCGAGGAGCTGCAGGGGTTCACATCTGCATCTGAGCTATACTCTGTAAGATTACCTTAGTTCACATCTGCTTCAGCCAGTTTGCAATGAATTATTGTGAATTCTTGCGGCTGCAGACTATTGTTCACATAAAAACCTTTTTCCATTACTCCTCCAGCTAAAGCGTAAGAGAGTAGGGGCTGGTCAGAGGGGGTCATCCAACCCCTTCCTGACTGCCAGTGATGTGCTGAAGTCCTCCATGTTGGCCACCGCTTCTAACAAAGGGACAGAGAATGGTGGGTTTTACGATGACAGTGCAGGAGGCTCAGGAGAGGTGGAGAAGGAGAGAAGAAGAGAGACAGACGCATCTCCAGCTGTAACATCATCCATCAGAGCAAGAGCAAACGCTGCCGCTGCCTGTCTGAACAGCCCGACAAAAGGAAGCAGAGCCATAAGCAAGAAGCAGCAGAAGCTGGCGGAAGCTGCAAAGAGTTCCCACAACATTTCCCACTACTTTGCAAAGAAACAACCAGGAGGAGAGAAAAGCCAGGAGGAGGAGGAGGCGGAGACACTGAAGAAAGCTGATGCTACGTTATCTCATACTA